CATACATTAGCATATTATTATTAGAAATTATTTGTATTATTTTGTCTTTAATTTTTATTTACTACTTGATAATAAAATATTTTATAATGAAAAAAAAATAATACATTTAAAAAATTTTTTTTGATATTATAAAATAAAATAAAATAACATTCCGAAAGAAATAATTTTTGGTACTCTGCCTAAATGTTGGAGAGTCACCAACAATTTTTCATAAAGAGCGTTATTTCATTTTAAGGATTGTTATGTTAAATCTTAAGCGAAAAGAGTTATTTTAAATTCTGCCTAGATGTTGGAGAATTTTAAAATAATTTTTTAATTTAAAGATTTTCTCAATATTTCTAAATAAAAACTTTAGCAAAAAATATTTTTTAAAACGAAAGGAATTAGTATTAAATTTCAAGTCAAAACTATTTTTATCCAACACCGAAAATAACGCATAATTAAATGGTACCAATTTATGGGCATTGTAGGGGTGTTAATTATTCCTCACACGTAATCGACTTCCGGACCTAACTTAATTTTTCGTAGATCAAAATTTATTTTTTTGATAAATTTTAAACCTGTTTTTATAGTTTTATTAAAAATATAAATTTTTGAGTAATCAATCACATCCTAATAAAGATTGATGACGATTCTTTTTTATTTTTTTTAATTTTAAAATATATTACGTCTGATGATCTCAAAACCATTATGATATTATTTTTATGACTTATTTTCTTTAAAGGAAAAGAAAAACCTTATTTTCTTAGTATATGCTTTCAACTCCTTACACGATGAGGTTAACAAGCACGAATTTTAATTACTTGGTAGCATGATAGGCGCCATTCGTTTATTGTACGAAGGAAAGGTTGAAAATTTTAGATGCTCATTAGTCTTTTTTTAAGTTTGTTGGTTTTGAGCTTTCATAAGCTTGTGGGTCCCTTTCATGAAGTAGTCAATGGTGTGTTCGTTGCATGTTAATAAGTCATGGGTGCTTTTTACATAGAGAGGTTTAGGGAAAAGTGTGGGTCCGTATGCCCTATTGCCTATGCTTTGGGCTTTTCGTTGACTGGCCCATATGCTACATGAAAAGTGGTCTGCACGAGGGTTTTTGTTCTTGTACACACCTAGGGTATATAGTTAAGCTTATAAATTTAATTTTTATGCCTTCTTTAATTTCACTATTGCTTGGAATCCTGCGTTCATGCATATTTGATGGTATTGAATTTCTCATCATTCAATTTGCCTTTACTTGATTTTATAGACACTTTAGTTTTACGTAGAAGGCAAATAAGTAATATAATACTGAAAATATCTAATGATAGAACTCTTTGAGTAGTGATTGTCAAGAATTTTTTAAGTAAGACAAGATTTTTGAAAATTACCAAAATATTGAAATATTTAAAAACTCTTTTCAATACAAATTTTTATTAATTTGTACAATTCTCTTATAAAATAAAAAATAAATATTTATAAAAATAGGTCTTTTTTTAATAAAATCTAGTAAACTAAAAATTTTCGATGACAGAATTTCAGGAAGTCCAAGTAGTGATTCTCGATAATTTCTAGGTAAGAAAATGGTTTCTAAAAAATTATCAAAGTAATGAAATATTTAGAAACTCTTTTCAATACAATTTTTTAATTAATTTGAACAATTCTCTTTAAGAGATGAAAAATATAAATATTTATAAAAGCATGCATTTTTTTTATAAAATTAAATAATGATAATTTTCGATGATGGGATTTCAAGAAATCCAAGTAATGATTCCGAAAATTCACTAAATGAAAAAAGTCTTCTAAAAATTATCAAAGTATTGAAATATTTAGATGTTTCTTTTCAATATGAAAAATTTTTATTTTATAATTATTTTTATTGTTTAAATAATTTTTTCTAAATAAATAAGAGTGTTTTTAGGAAATAAATGTATTTGTAAATAATTATATTATTATATGATTTTTTATAATTTAAAAAAAAAAGAGGAAAAAATCTCCGATGATGAAATCCTAAAGAAATCCAAGTAGTGACTCTTTAGAAATCTTTAGGTAAGAAAATCTATCTAACATGATGTCAATGTATTAAAGTATTTAGATTAATTTTTTATAAAGATTTCTTTTTTTTTTTTATAAAATTGTGTAAAAATGAGTTTTAGAAAAATACTATTTGTTTTAAATTATAGATATTAATTTATTTTTTAAAATATAAATACTAGAAACAAATGTGATACATCGAAGATAGGATTTTTGAAAATTTCAAGTAGCGATTCTTAAAATTTTCTTAGATGAGATAATTCCTTTTAATATTGCTAGAGTATTAAAATATTTTTAGGCATCTATCAATATGTAAGGCTTTTATTTATTTTTCAAGCATACTAAAAATTAAAAATATGTTTTTAAAGAAAATTAAGAAAATTAATTTTTAAATATCAAAATTAAGACCATTTTAATCATAATTAAAAGATAACACAGAATTAATTGGTACCGTTTTAAACAGACATCGTGGAGGTGCTAATCCTTCCCCACACGTAATCGATTTTCAAATCCAAACTATTTTCGCAGACCAAAAAATTATCTTTTTAATAAAGTTTAATTAGTTTTAAAATTTTATTAAGAAGATAAATTTTAATAGGTTGTCAATCACACTTAGTAAAAAAACATTGGTGACGACCCTATCTTTTGTTTTCAAATTCGTCTAGCGGTCCTTAAAACCGTTATAACAACATTCATTATGCATATGCATGTATGTTAATTGTTGCTGTCTATGGTTAGCCATAGCACCCTTCTATTTCTACATAAAATAAAACGTTCTTCAAATTTTTGATTTCAAATAAAAAATAAAATTAAAATAACATTCCAAGAAAGACAAGTTTTGATCTTCTGGTTAAATGTTAGAAAATCACCAACAATTATCATTTACAAACAAGGCTATTTTTACTTTTACCTCAGACAAAAAAGATTATCTTTGGATTCTACTTAGATTTTAGAGAATTATAGGATATTTTTTTAAGCTAAAGATTTTTACAATATTCCTAAATGAAGATTTTTAATTGACTTTCTTTCTTAAAAAGGAAAATTATTATTAAATCTTAAATAAAATTAATTTTATCCAAAAATATAATAACGTATGGTTAATTGGTACCAATTTTTATGGACACTATAGAGTGCTAATATTTTCTCATGCGTAATTTACTTCCGAGCCTAATCCTATTTTCATAAACAAAATTTTTTTTTATAAACTTTAAACCTGTTTTATTGTTTTATTAAAAAAAAATTTTTTGGGTGGTCAATTACACCCTAAGAAAAAGATTGACGATGACTCTCAATTTTCGTAAGTTTTACATCTAATGATCGAATTTCTGGATCGATACATTATGACAAGTTCAAAAAATATTTTTTTTTCTTTAAATATCAATTGAACTTGTATTTTCAAGTGAAGCTCATAGAAAATTTCATTTTCAAAAAGCACAAAAATTGAAAGGCAAATTTGAAAGCTTTAGCCATTTCAAAATATTAATCAATTTAAGGCTAATAATATATTTCAAACTTGTAGTTTACAATAACAAAAATAACTCCTATGAAAATAAATTTAATAAGAAAATAAAGGAGTTCAAGTAATTTATATCTTTTTTTATATTTATCGAATCACCATTTAGTTTGAATTTCATATTTTCAAACTCACACTTCTAACTCAACAAGTTTAGAAAGAAAATCTCTTTAGAACTCTTGAAGGCACACTTAAATAACAGACATAACATGTTGCATTGAAATTATTCACTAATGTTTATCATTTCTCACTTTCACTAATTGAATTTTAGTGAGCATTATAATTATTTCATTTTCATTTGTTGAAACATTAATTTGTCTTCAAATTAATTACCTTACTGAAGTGATACATTTTAATAAAGTATTCATTTTTATCGTACATAATGGACTTTCTTTTTCTTAAAATCTTTATCGTACAATAAAAATTTTTATTGTACTGGAAGAAATGTAAAATTACTAAAATACCCCTATAAGGGTATTTTTATAATTTGACCTTCCTGACCTCAAGTTTTTATGAAACTTTTCAGATCTTAATTTCATAATATTTCATGATTTTTTATGCATTTGAAATCACAGTCGTACCCTGAAAAGTGTGAAATTATCAAAATACCCTTATAATACCCCTATAAGGGTATTTTTGTAATTTGACCTTCCTAAGCTTAGATTTTCATCAAAATTTTCAGATCTTAATTTCATAATATTTCATGATTTTTGGTGCATTTGAACTCACAGGCATACCTGGAAAGTGTGAAATTATCAAAATACCCTTTTATAAGGGTATTTACGTAATTTGACCTTTTTCGAGCTTAGATTTTCATGAAACTTTTCAGATCTTAATTTCATAATATTTCTTAATTTTTGGTGCATTGAAATCATAGCCGTACCTAGGAAGTATGAAATTACAAAGATACCCTTATAAGGGTATTTTTATAATTTGACCTTCTTGAACTCGGATTTTCATGAAACTTTTCAAATCTTAATTTTATAATATTTCAAGATTTTTGGTGCATTTGAAATTAAAGCAGTACCTTGAAAAATGTAAAATTACTAAAATATCTTTATAGGGGTATTTTTATAATTTAGCTTTTCCGAGCTCAGATTTTCATAAAACTTTTTAGATTTTAATTTCATAATATTTCATGATTTTTTATTTTTAAAATCTCAAAAATGAGTATGAGAACATTGATTTTTAAGAAAATAACTTAAATACCGAAAATTTTGCACTAAGGGTAAAATGATCTTTTCATAGATTTGGAAGATATAAAAATTCAACTATTGTAGTGAATAATATAGACCATTAGATCTTTTAATGATTTTGATCCAATGATCAAAGGTGGTTCTTTGAAAAAGAGAAAAAACAGAAACTTTGACCCTTGGATGAGATTTCATCCGAGCGTCCATATTCACCAAGAACAAAATCTTTTTTTGAGGGGTCTACCGAATGGGATAAGAGAATGGATGGTGCTGGAAGGAAGGGGGGGCTGGAAGAAGAAGGGGGGAGGTGAAAGTTTTGTTAAAGAAGGAAGAAGACAATTTTGAACTAGAAAAAAGGTAATCCTTTTATTCTTATACCACTGTCACATTTCCATAAAACTGCTGCTATAACCATATAGAGATTAACATGAATGAGATATAGGGTTCATCTATTGTTTCATCCTGTAATGCTGCACTAGGAATCCAAGGAAAGACGAAATGGAATTTTTTTTTTTTGTGGTTAGCTTTAGTTGCAGGCTTTGTTTCTTGCACGTTAAAGTCCCAATCTTATTTTTGTTTTGATGACTTATTTTCTTTAGAGGAAAAGAAAAACCTTGTTTTCTTAGTATCTGCTTTCAACTCCTTACACGATGAGGTTGACAAGCACGAATTTTAATTACTTGGTAGCATGATAGGCGCCATTCGTTTATTGTATGAAGGAAAGGTTGAAAATTTTAGATGCTCATTAGTCTTTTTTTAAGTTTGTTGGTTTTGAGCTTTCATAAGCTTTCATTTGTTGAGACATTAATTTGTTTTCAAATTAATTACCTTACTGAAGTGATACATTTTAATAAAGTATTCATTTTTATCGTACATAATGGACTTTCTTTTTCTTAAAATCTTTATCAATCTTTCATTTTAAATTTATAAAAAAATTTAGTATCTCAAAACAATCTCATTTAACAATATAACAGCATGTACTTTTACTCGAGTAAAAAAACTCATGAATCAAGTCTGATTATTTTTACTTAAAATTATATCTTGCTTTTATCATTTAAAATTTTTACTTTTTTATATTCTAAAATTATTTTCATAATTTTTTTACCTTTTAAACTTAAAATAATCATAAAACATAATTTTATAAAAACATAAAAAATTTAATATTAAATAGACCAAAACTAACTTTTCTTTTCTTTTTTGATTCCATAAAAGTCAAAGAAAAACTAACAGTTTCAAACAAAAAAAGTGTCAATACTACAATCGTTAATAATTAGAAAAGTGGTTGTTAGCTATGATAATATGTCAAATATATATACATAAGTTGAAATTTGTTTGATCTTATTAAATTACATTCATCTTGCCTAAAATATTTGTGTTAGTTAGATCCAATGTTTTTTTTAGTAAAGTTAGATCAGATGTTAAACTCATCATCTGGCCTAAAATTTTTGTACTAGTTCCAATTTTAAGTTCGTCTTGCCTAACTCATGTCTTCTTCTCCTAATAGTAAACTCTTAATATTAGAAATAATAAGGGTAGCATTTGATAATTGCATGCACTTTTAAGCTGTCTATTTAATTTATCTGAAAATAAAATAAACAAGACAGTAAATACGTAAAAATTAACTAATAAATGAATTCAAAATTCAGTTACGTTGACTCATATAATCAATTTTACAATGTAACGTCTAATAAATTAAAATTTTAAATCTTAACATTTATAATTTTTCCTTTATCCTTATCCTCGCACCATTTATACTATATTTTAAAAGCTTTTTAAATAAAACTTTTTAACAAAAAGAAATCCGGAACAATTCTCTGTCCCTAAAAAACTAACTTCAAATTATCATACTAATATTCGGAATTGATTCCTTTGGATCTTTTGATTAAAAATATCGGATTTCTTGGCTTTTTTGTTTTTTAAAAAATTAATCACGAGTAAAATAATAAGAGTTCTGCAACTACCGCTTTTGCATATATAAATGTGTTTGGTGCCTTTGCAGTCATTGTTATTCTGAAAAGGATTCAATAGCAATCACAGAAAAGAAATTGAAGAGCATAGTATGGAGCTGGGTTCTGTTCTGCACGCCTTAATTCCCTCTTGGAGCTCTGTAAGCAACTCTTTCTATTTTTAGATTTTTTTACTGTTACCAACTAATGGTTTTTTTTTTTTTTTTTTAATTTTGTCAAATCCAATCAAAGCTAAAATTTAGTCATCTTCGTTTCAAAATTTTGCTGGATTCTTTTTACCCTTAATCTCACAATTTCGATCTATTTAATTTATTTGAGAAACATTTTACGTGCTTAAATATTTTCTAATTTGTAATTTTTAAAATTCTATTTAGGATGCATATCATCTGAACATATACTTAATTGGAATATATATATATATATATATATATATCTAAAAAGAAAAAAATATCTGATAACAAAAGTAAACTATATTGTTCTAGAAATAAAAACTAAACGTTTAACTTCAGTGAACATTGTTTTATTTATACTTTTAACTGTTTACTTACTTTCATTAAATATAAATTGGCTTATTATGCCCACGAGAAATTTTAAAATTTCAAAAAAAATAATAATAAAATGCTATCAAATGTCATTGGATTATATTTAAAAGGAAAAATTAACTCCACGATCAGTTTATATTTTATAGAATAATAATCCAAATAGAAGATTATACTTGTAAATTTAATTTTTATTTTCTATTTTTGCTTGACTTATAACAATTCCAAAGTTTTTATTAATTTTTGTTGGTTGGTTTACAGGTTGGTATATACATGATATATTTAACATACGTGGCGTTTGCTTCATTTATATTACCTGCAAAAGTTGTCCCTGGAATGATCATGCAAGATGGGTCTCGTCTCCATTACCGCTGCAATGGTCTCCTTTTTTCTTTTTTTTTTTTTTTGTTTCTTTTGTTCTTTTGTTTTATAAGTTTCTACTTAATCAGTCAAGTTGAAGCAAATTTTTTTGTCTTTGTTTTTGATTAATTTTAGGGTTGCTAACCCTGGTTTCGTTAATTGGGCTTCTTGGGATTGGTTCTAAGATGGATTTAATATCTCCCACGGTATGTATTTTTAATTTGCTAAACAAAAATTAATTTTTTTATTGCAAAGTTGGGGATAGTCAACATATTTACCGTTTGAGGAACATTTTAAGTTTTAGTTTAGTACTGCTTTAAAAATAGTTTTTTTCGTTCAAAAATTGTTTTTATTTAATTTTAATATTAAATGTCTTTTCAATTTCAGTTTTAAACTCAAACAAAAAATGACTCAAAAAATTTGTTTGTGATGTTAGGTGTATTAGAAATAAAAAATTATTATATTGCCATTAAATTTATAATATTTTAATATTATAGACATATTTTTTAAAATATTACAAATACTTGCTGTATTTTTTAATTGCAATATTGAACACTTAAAATTTTTAATTATATTTTTATTGCACTTTTTAAACTCACTTTTTCAATCCATTTTTTTTTTCAATTGCAAGAGAAATGTCAAACTAATCTTAAATGTGTCTCTTAAATCTTAATTTTGATTCCGGCCAAAAACAAAAGTCCTAATTTTGATGAAAATGTATGCAGCTGATAGCGGACAGAGGACTTGAGATGCTATCCACATCTTTTATATTCAGTTTTCTTGTAAGTGACTATCTGTTTTTTTTTTTTTTTTCTTCATACATGAAACTAATGAAAACCTTGTAAGTGGTGTTATAATTGGTAAACTTTCCGCCTGAGCCACAGCTTGAATCATTCAATTATTAACCATAAAGAGCTCCACTTAATGCTTTTGTTTTTTTTCGATGAGACTTTGACAGAAGGAGAATTTGTTTTTTTTTTTTTTTATTTGCTGCAGGGAAATTTTTATAACTATGATTTTGTTTTTCTTGGTTTAGGAGACTTACTGTGATTTATTCTCCTCTGATTAGTCTGTTGTTTCCTTTTTGTTCAGGTAGCTTCAGTACTCTACATTGTTGGCTGCAGGTCACGCAGCCAGGCTTCCTCGAAAAAACCACATTTCACGGGAAACTTTATACTAGACTGGTACTCTTGTCTTTTATATAAAATTGCATTTTTTTTTGACATAAGCAGGAGGGAGGGGGTGGGGAATAATCAATTAACTTGCATCATTTAAATAGAATTTAAGAGTTGAATTTCATTTGCATGGCAAACAAATGCACTTCCATTGTTGGTGTCTTTGAAACTGGGAGATTCAAGTTCATGACTGTTCTTCCTGTTTTTCTAACCCCTTCAATATTCTATTTATCTTTACAATAATTCTGCATTTTTGTTATGTTGTAGGTATTTGGGAGTGCAGCTAAATCCTCATTTCTTGGGTATTAATCTCAAGTATGTAATTCTTGCCCGGGTCATAGAACTTGAAATCTGCATTTGTAAGCTATGATGAACATATAAGATTCTAATAGATTATTGGATTATTTGTATAGATTCTTCTTTCTTAGAGTTGGAATGATGGCATGGATAATCATCAACTTATCAAATCTAGCAAAAAGTGTTCAAATTGGCACCTTCAGTCTATCAATGATCCTCAACCAACTCTTCTGTCTGGTAAATACTGGGTCTGCTGGTGATTCTGGTTGATTCCCATACATTTTTTTCCTCATTTGGTAATTGATTTTAATTACAAGTATAAATGCCAATGCTAAGTTGCCCTTTTCCATCATCTTAATTTATTCCAGATACATGTTATGGACTTCCTTTATCATGAGGAGCAGTTGACCTGCTTGTAAGTGCCAATTACCTCATCTGTACTATAATTATCATAGATAAACCTTTTTTAACTTCTTCATGACATGTATTTATGAAGCTTTATGTTCTTTTTTTTTCTCTTGTACAAGACAATATTTTATGCATTCATGTTCTTATTATTTGCAATAAGTTTAAAATTTTGTTAATTTGATCATAATTTTGTATAATTAGAACACATGTTAATCTTTACTTTCTCGAACTCTTTATTAAAGCACTCTTAATTATAATAACTTTGTCCTTTCAATTGGGACTATAATTTGTGGTCGTCTGTTACAGCTGGGACATAATGGTTGAGAGATTGGGCTTCATGTTGATTGGTGGATATCTAGTCTGGGCTGCTTTCATAACTACCATCCCGGTAAGCAAACCATTGACTAATTACAAAGTTTTTTGGCAACATGCACCGGCACCACATATTAAATATTAGTCTCCTTGTGGTTCATCGAATGTTATTTTTTTACTTAATTTTACTCCCCAAATCTCATTTTGGAATTTGTTGCAATATATATATTGATTTCTATTTTACTTGCATTTAAGAGCATTTTGAAAGTAAAATCAAAAAATCTTTTTTTAATTAAATCAGATAATACATTACAAATTGAATTAATTCTTTTTGTTTTTCTAAATTTCTCTTCTCACTACACCTTTGAAATAGGGTTGGTGGCTATTGTACAACAAAGTGGATTTATCAACCCCGGCTGCAATAGCTATTTGCATAATCTATCTGGTTGGGTAAGATTTTTTTTTTTTTTCATCGTATAGAATAAGGAAATTATTACATGGTTAATTCTGACATTCTGCTACATTATTCTTTGACTTTGAAAAAATGGGCAGGGTCATTGGATATAGAGGATCAAATAGTCAAAAATATCAATTCAAAATGAATCCCAAAGCACTTATTTGGGGTAAGCCTCCAAGGGTTATTGGGGGAAAGTTGCTAGCTTCAGGCTATTGGTAAGAGATTTCCCATCTTATCATCTTCCCTTAATATTTCTAACATTGGCAGTACAATTAAATGATGTAATTTTTATGTTATTTTTGCTTTGGACAAAAATGTTTTGATGAATAAACTTGGCATAATTATAAAAAACCTTTGAACTAAAATTAAATAATCATTCCAAGTCTTTATCATTCTATTACAATTAACTGAGCTTTAAAATATTTATTTTCATCCAATTGAGTCCTTATGAGATGAAAATTAATTAACTGTCACTAGTTATTTTCATCCAATCAAGAGGTCAATTAAGTGAAAATAAATATTTAAAAAGTCAATTGAATAAAAATAAATATTTAAAAACTTAATTAATTGTAATAAAATGATATGGACTTTGATCATTATTTTAATATTTATTTAAAAGGTTTTTTTTATACTTAATCTATACTTGCCATCAATTTTCATGAAAATGCACATTCCAAGCCCTTCTATTTGACAAACAATTAATTACTTTTAACTCACATATGATAAATTCCTCATACTGTTTAGATCATATATAATTATTCTAAAAATTATCGTATACATCATCAGTTGGAATTTGAACTTCAATAAAATTAAAGGATTATCACATAATTTTAAAAACTAATATTATTATTAAAAAAGTACATATGACAGTTTTTTAGCATAGTTTTGTGAAAACTGAAAGCTCCATCAATGATGTATAAAAAACGAACTGAGATCAATCACCATTATCAAACAAAATTATATTAGATACTGATGCTTGCAACTTTCTTGACGCTTAATCTCATTATGATTATATTTACCTTGGTAAAGGGGACTTGCAAGGCACTATAATTACCTTGGGGATTACTTGCTATCACTTTCCTTCAGTTTGACTTGTGGCTTCAGGTATTTTTTCAAAATATTTTGCAGAAATTTATAATCGTATATATAATCATATTCAGTATACAAATATAAATAATTTCCTGTGGTGAATTCATTCTTTTTGCAGTTCTCCTGTCCCATACATCTATCCGATTTGTCTGATCGTTTTTTTCGTATCAAGAGAAAAAAGAGATGAAGCTCGCTGTGCTGAAAAGTACAAAGAAATATGGGCAGAATACTGCAAAGTTGTTCCTTGGAGAATAGTGCCATATTTGTATTAGTCAACAAAATGTTGCAGAGCTGCTGCTATATTCAACTACATGTATTTTCGCTTGATTGTTCCTGTCATTTCATATTTGTCCATCTGCAAATTGGAGGGACAAGAGAACTTCATTCTGGCATTCCTGATTTGTACTTAAGAAACTTGGCTTACTAGCATTTCTGGATCAGTTGTTATGGCAACTGACTCAATGTGCAAGCTATATCATGGTAGAGATTGAATTTGAAAAAATAAAATGTATTGAGCGTTGTTAAGAAATTATTTAAAAATTAAAAAGCCCGGAGGGGTCATTGCTCGAAATCAGTTTTTTTTAGAGGTGTGTATGAATAGAATTATATTCGAATTCAATTATAATTCATAAACAATTTTATCTTTTATTTATTTATTAAATTTAATAAGTAATTATAAATAATATAATAAAATTCGTTTATATTCAATTTATTTATATCTTAAATTTTTTCAATTACCTTTAACAAATATTTTAGATGAACTTTTATAATCAAACAATCGACATGGACCAATATCGTTTCATTGATGATGAGTATAAATTGGGCTTATAATTCTTCCTCTGTTTTATTTGAGTTTATATCATGATTTGTTTTTACTCTCATTTCCTCAAGCATATTGAAACTGCCTTTTCTTTTGGTTGTACTTATTTTAAAGTTATTTCAAAGATTTTGTTGCTAAAATTGAAATGTTTTGTATAAAAATAACATAATGCAAAGTTGAATAAATGGTAAGAAGGATAGCATAGTTAAATGTGCCAGCTAGAGAGGTATATGGGTTAAATCAGGTTAGGTTCTTTAATAGCTTGAAATCTTATGCTTGGTTCGCTAATTTAATTTTTATTCATTAGTAAAATAATTTTATATTAATAATGTAATCACGTTTAATCAAGCACAAAACTTTTATATTTTTAATTGAGGAGGTTAAAAATTAAATTTTAATTATTAAAATTTGTTATTTTGTTTGACGAATTTTTATTTATTAGTAAAATATTTTGTTGTTTTGTCAAAATTAAATAAAGAGTAAAACACAACTGTAGATGATTTGTTATTTTGTTTGAAATTTTTACAGTATGTTCTAAAAGAAAATCTATTCTCTGAATAAAAGGATTCTTAGGATTAGTTTCTACAGTCAAAATTGCTTTGAAATAAATATGATAATTTATGTATTTGTGTTATGTAAAGCATAATAATTCATGTATTTATATTATATTTTATATAAAAATTACATGTTATAATTTATGTCGACATAAAAATATAAAATATATTTTATAAAATTTTGTCAAACTTATATATAATCTTGTTAAAATTTTAAATCATATCACATTCGTGTCTTTTTTTTTTTTTTGTATTGTTTGAAGGATGAAACATTTTACCAAATCTACTTTAAAGGATGCAACATCAATTATATCATTGTTGTTAGGAATATGGGGTCCCATGTAAGTGGTTTTGGACCAAGTAAAGGCCATGGGCCTTGATCTTTTATTTTACACAGAGTCCTAGCTACTTAATAAAAAAAAGAGGTAGGGTTGTTTTAGGTGTGTGTTGAAAACCAAGCAGAGAAAGAAGAAAAGCAGGAAAAGCAGAGAGAGAAAAAAGAGAAGGGAGAGTTGGTTGAACGAAAGTCAATCCGTGGTCCGATTGAGTTGGAACCTTGTCAGGAGGTTTATGATTCAGAGTTCTACATTCTGAATGGTGAAGATCGGGTTTGAAGCTCTTTAGGAACAAATCCAAGGTGTATTTGTTGAGTCACTTATTTGGTGAGATTTCTCCAATTGTTTCTCTAGTTGTTGATTAGCTCTAGTTTTAGCTAGAGAAGAACTTTGTATAAGTATTATTTGATAGTGAAGATTTTTCTGGTGGCCCGTGGTTTTTTCCCTCTACACTGGAGGGTTTTCCACGTAAATCTTGGTGTGCTTTATTTTTTCTGCGTATTTGATTATTGATTGCTGTCTATTGCTTCTGTATTGTTGTGATTATTGCTTCAGGCACAACAATTGTGTCGTATTTTAAATTATCATATCTATTTTACAAAATACAACATCAATTGAGATATTATAGAAATATTAATCAATTGATTTATTATTCATACAATATTAATTCGTGCTCATTTTTAGATAGATAGCATTAACTTATTACTATGATAAGACATTAAAATCCTCTTCATGTGTGATAGAATATGTTATATGATTATTTAATTTTACTCTTTCACGTAATAGTATACTAGCGAGTTATGCTTATACAGTTTGTGGATATAATATAAAAGTAAAAGTTACGTTCAATTGAACCTTTTTTTTAACTCATTCCAAGGGGTTGATCAATTAAGAATGCAACCATCCATCACTGCACAGCACCATCCACCCAAATATTGTTTAAATTTGAGCAAAATAGTGAAGTAGCCGTCTTAGCTTCTAGCCCACTTCTTTGTTGTGGGGTGGAGTGGAAGTGAATAGATCGATTACAACTCGTCTGTGCATTAATTTGTGGCTATAATCACCATATCCTAGATGAGAGAAACAAGATAAAAGCTGGTTTTTAAAGTTAGAACAATATTAGGCAATGCCTACTGTAGACATCCTAATTTGTTTAGGGATCTGCATGATTTTTGTTTTTGTTAATAAAAATAATAAAAAATGAAAAAACAGGTGGATGAGTTTGATTGAAGTTGTTTACGTGAGTTTAAGTTGAATTTTAGGTTTGAAGTTGAAGTTTAAAAGAAATTGAGATTTCTATCTGGATTAGAGTTCTTTGGATAGAATCCTATAAATATAACCAACATCACATACAGAAAACACATAGATCAAAGAGATATATGGAAAGGCAGAGAAAAAGGAACACAAAAGAAGCTACATAATACAAGATTTTTTTGAAGTTTTTTTTTTGTTTGAAAAAAAGGGAGATTTTTTTTTTTGTAAATTTTTCTAGAAAATTCCCAGCTTTTGATGAGTTTTTCTGGATTTCAATGAATTTTTCGGCTACATTTGAATTTTTCAATGGGTTTTCTAGAATCTAGTTGAAGATTTCGACAAAGATTGAATTTTTCAACGAACTCTCGGCAAGCCAACCTAGATTCTGATGAGATTTTCAAAATCCGATGAAGGATTCAACTGGAGTTTATCAATTCTAGAAAGAGAGAGGGAGAAAAAAAAGGAAGAGAGCAAAAGGGGAAGGAAAATTTGACGGTAAAATACAGAATTCGATCTTTTATACCGTTCCCAAAATGACGTTGTTTTTAGTTAAACGGCTCTAAGATTCGCATGGTTTTGTTCAAGCCAACCTGACCCGAGCTTGACTTGCCATTAACTTGCAAACTCATCCTTGGCTTGAGCCAAGTCGAGCCGTGAAGCCAAGCCATCTCAACCACTATTTCTTCCTACAGCTGAGTCGAGCCTTCTAATCATTGAGCCAAGCCATTTTCCTGTTTGGTATTTTTTATTTTTTTTAGTATTTTTGTATAATTAAAGTTTAAAAAAATAAAAAAATAAAATAAAATATTTTTTGAGAATAAATAATAATTATACAATGATGAAATTTTTAAAATTTCAAATGATAAATTTTTATAAAATTCCTAGGTGAGAAATTTTTTTTTTCTAAATTTATCCAAAATGGAAAATTTAGAGAAAGCTTCAATAATAATTAATATTTATTTTCAATTCAAAAAAAAATAAGAGGAAAAAGCAAAAAAAAATAATAATAGTAAGAAAATTTAATACAAATTTTGGTTAAAAATATTTGACAATTATCCAATGATGAGATTTTTGAAATTTTAAAGAGTAAATTTTTTAAGAAATCTCTAGGTGAGAAATTTCTTTAAATTTGTCTCAAATAGTGAAGAATTTAAATGAAACTTTAAAAATAATTATCATAATATTTTTTTCCAAAGATAAAAAAAAAACAAAAAAAGAGAATTTCTAAATAGACCCAAATGGTGAAAAATTTAGAAATAAAAATAAAAAATAAAAATAAATTATGAGGATGAAATTCTTAATAATCGCAAATGGTTGATTATCTAAGAAATTTCTAGGTGAAAAGATATTTCTAATTTAGCCCAAATAGTGAAATGATTAGATATATTTTCAATAAAAAATGATTAAACCTTTTTCCAACGAAGGAGCCTCTTCAAGAAAACAAATGGATTCTTAAATACTCTTGAGGTGAGAAAATATTTTTAAGAATTCTATCAAATTGATGGAGAAATCTTAAAAGTTATTTCCAATATTCAACATTAAATTTTAAAATCATTAGAATCAAGATATTAGGATAATTTAAAATAAAATAGTACAATCCTTTGGATGGCCATGTGGGGGTGCTGTAACCTTCCCTATTTGTAACCGAATTCCAAATCCTGTTTTGATTAATAGATCAGAACCTATTCTTTCAGGGACCTTTAGTCAAGCTTAAGAGTTCCTTAAAAGGATAGATTCATTAGGTGGTCAATCACACCTAGTTTAAAAAGATTGGTGACGACTCAATTTGTTAAGTCTAGCTATAGATTTATAGATCTATATGTTATAATAGTTTGACAACTCCATTGGGGATAGCTAGAGAGTTAGGCCATAAATGTTAAATTTATCCTATCCTTTGATCCAATGGTTTTTAAAGTGTAATGATTATGTTATTTGTTTATTAACATGTTTTTTATATTTGGTCTTTATTTATGGGGGTTAATAATTATATATTCCTTCACACACACTATCACATGCATTTGCATTACATGAGCTCTATTCCCAGGCTCCTTTCTTCCATCCATTTTAGGAATGAGTAAAGTACCTACGCTCTCGTGAGATGATAATCTCCACAATGACTAGTGAAATACTCTCACTCAAATTGAATTATTTCTGTTGGTAGCATGTGATGGGTGAGGATTGAAATGCCTTACTAGTATGTGATAGACAATGACGTAAGGAATAATTTGGGAACCTTTAGTGGTCAAAGTCACCTAATCCTACATATAATCTACACTCAAAAGGCCTACCTTAAGATAGAGCCTTTCCTACCTATTGATAAACATAGCCTGAAGTTAGGACATAAGAATGAATAGTTTGTGATTTAACCATTTTGTTTGTTTGACTTTGTACATTTGGATTATCATGTCAATATTTGACAATTATCCAATGATGAGATTCTTAGAAATTTCAAATATTAAATTTTCTAAAAAATCTTTAGGTGAGTAATTTCTTTAAATTTATCCCAAATAGTGGAAGAATTTAAATGAAACTTAAAAAATAATTATCATATTATTTTCTTTCCAAAGATAAAAAAACAAAAAAAGAGAATTTCTAAATAGACCCAAATGGTGGAAAATTTAGA